ATTGACTATAATTAATGCAAATCAGTTATTTATTTCCCAATTTTTTTTTTCTATCTTCTGCTAGCCACAATGATGGCGAAAGGATTACCTCGTAACAGCACCAGTGAGACATGCAGCAAGAGTCATACCGTATCGCAAGGCTCGACCCTTAACTATATTAAATTATTATATTACTTTTAAGCACTATTTACATTTTTTCCAAGTAAACTAAAAATCCGTTAATATTTTTTAGCTTTCATGAAACGCGCATCTATCCTTGAACTCAGAACGCCAATATATATATATATATATATATATATGTGTGTGTGTGTGTGTGTGTGTGTGTGATAGCTCAGGGGTAAAATCTCCAACTGATAAGTCGGATTCTGGCAATCTAATGTCTGGTCACACTGATGAGCTGTGTCTTTCGATGACTATATATATATATATATATACACTGGTGGTCATCTCAGAGTTTCGGGAGTATTCACTCGTCAACACTCAGGCATGAATGATTGTATTAATTATTACAGAATTTATATTTTAGAAAATTATGACCTATAAATATTTGGTTTTGCAGAATTTTTTTATTTTTTGGTTTTATATCTAGATATTGAATACATTGTTTAAAATCGGATTTTCTGTGGAAGTTTACTAAAACACAGCTGATATAAATGTATATATTTTATATATATCTTTGATTCGAAAAGAACTTTCTTCCTATATCTTAATATTCTACATATTCTCTGGAAGCTTCCTTCCGCAATTGCAATACGTCATGGGATATCTTTGTTAGATATTCCATAGTCAGATTTAAGTTAAATTTGTCTACTTAGTCGATTGTGTTTTTTCTCTTCAGTTCGTAGTTCGCATACTGAGTTGTCTTCTTTGCACATATTTTATCTTATAATTGATGGTTACTTAGTTCCTCTCATTTTCCTATGCTACCTTGCCTAGAATTCACCAGTCTCTCTCTCTCTCTCTCTCTCTCTCTCTGTGTGTGTGTGTGTGTGTTTTAAATAAGATGTCCTCTGCATATATCACTGAGCTTATGCCTACAAATAATAAATCCTGGCAGAATATCTGTCTCTCTTAATATCGCCCCTACATCTAAATATGCATTAAACCAAAAAATACCTTATTCTGTTGAGAATAAATCAAGGCACACTTGAATTATATATTTCATGTTTGTGTACTTCGTTCGTTGTAAAATATATACCTGCAATGATTTCCCTGTTTTTTCTGCATAATCTATGAAACATATGGCAATTATAAATATGTTTTCGTGTTGAGATCATCCTAAATTTCGATTATCCCATCCCAATCTCGAATGGCGATGCAAAGAAACTATAAAACATTGTTACCTCAAAACAGTTCTCTACGTTTACTATGATAGGACAAAAAAATCTGTGCGCCTCTCAAAACCAAAGACAAAACAGATTTTAAAAAAAATAAGTGATACGTCTTCCATAAACCAAATCTGATAGATTTTTTTTGCTCTGTCTATCGACATCTCCATGCTTCGGTTGTTCTAAACCATCACCGTGGTACAAAGGAACTTTGTACAAGTCGACGAGAACAATCAAAAAAAAAAACGAATTGCGGAAATATATCCGTCGAAATCTATCTATTTTGCTATCCGTCGCATCAACAAGTTCCATATTTTGCTATCGTCGCACGTAACAAGTGGCGACATGGTAACTCTCTAACGGAGGACAAAACTTTTGGCTATCCGTCTAACAAGTGGCGACTGGTAACACCAACTATATATATTTTAACAATCTCTCGAGGACAAAACTTTTTGCCCGTCGCACGTTTCCTCTACGCGGAGGACAAACCTTTTTGCTATTTATAACAAGTAATTCCAAGAAACCAAATCCTCAGGACAAAACTTTTGCTATCCGTCGCACATGACTCTCTACGCGGAGGACAAACTTTTTTGCTATCCGTCGCACGTAACAAGTGGCGACGTGGTAACCCAAGAACCAACTCTCTACGCGGATTTTTTTATCCGTCGCACGTAACAAGTACGTAACCCAAGAAACCAACTCTATACAAAACTTTTTTTCTATCCGTCGCATATATATATATATATATATATATTTTGCTATCCGTCGCATAACAAGTATATATATATCCGTCGATATGGCGACGTGGTATCTCTACGCGGAGGACAAACTTTTTGCTATCCGTCGCACATAACAAGTACGTGGTATGCTATCCGTCGCGTACGCTGATAATGTCAAAACTTTTTTCTATCCGTCGAACATAAAAGTGGCGACAAGGTAACCCAATTTTTTTTTGCTATCCGTCGCACGTAACACGTGGCGACGTTTTCTAAAAAACTTTTTGCTGTCGTACAAACAAGTGGCGGCAACGTTCTCTACGCGGAGGACAAAACTTTTTTTATCCGTCGCACGTAACAAGTGGCGACGTGGTAACCAAGAAACCAACTCTACGCGGAGGACAAAACTTTTTGCTATCCGTCGCACGTAACAAGATTAACATCTTTTTTTTGCCCGTCGCACACTACTAAGAAACCAACTCAAACAAAACGCTATCCGTCGCAAACACATTCTACGCGGAGGACAAACTTTTTGCAAAAACAAGTGGCGACGTGGTAACCCAATCTCTAAGGACAAAACTTTTTGCTATCCGTCGCACTAACAAGTCTCCCCATCTCTACGCGGAGGACAAAACTTTTTTGCTATCCGTTGCAAACAAGTGGCGACAAAGTAACCAAAAACCAACTCTCTACGCGGAGGACAAAACTTTTGCTCTCCGTCGCATAACAAGTGGCGGCGTGGTAACCCAAGAAACCAACTCTCTAAGGACAAAACTTTTTGCTAAAACAATACTAACAAGACGTTTCTTTTGCTATCCGTCGACATAACAAGTGGCGGCAAGGTAACCCAAGAAACCAACTCTCTACGCGGAGGACAAACCTTTTTGATCCGTCGCACGTAACAAGTAAACGAAACCAACTCTCTACGCGGAGGAAAACCTTTTGCTATCCGTCGCACGTAACAAGTGGCGAAACCCAAAAACCAACTCTCTACCAGGAAAAATCCGTCGTTAACAAGTAAACATACTCTCTACGCGGAAAAAACTTTTTGCAGAACAAGTGGCGACGTCCCAAGAAACCAACTCTCTACGCGGAGGAAAAACTTTTTTTATCCGTCGCAACATATACGTAACATACATATCGAAACAAGTGGCGACGTACAAGAAACCAACTCTCTACGCGGAGGACAAACCTTTGCTATCCGTCAAAAAGTACAAGAAACCAACTGTTTGATCCGTCGCAAAAAGTGGCCCGTGGTAACCCAAGAAACCAACTCTCTACGCGGAGGACAAACCTTTTGTCCGTCGCATAATGGCGACGTTGAAACCAACTCTTTAGGACAAAACTTTTGCTCTCCGTCACACACTGGCGGCAAGGTAACCCAAGAAACCAACTCTCTACGCGGAGGACAAACCTTTTGGTAAACCGAAACCAACTCTTCGCGCGTAATATCTTCCCAACTCTCTACGCGGAGGACCTTTTTGCTATCCGTCGCACGCCGAGTAACCCAAGAAACCAACTCTGCGGAGGACAAAACTTTTGCTATCCGTCGCAAACAAGTGGCGGCAAAAGTGAAAAACAGACTTTTGTATCCGTCGCACGTAACATGGTTTTGAGAAACCAACTCTCTACGCGGAGGACAAACTTTTTGCTATCCGTCGCACGTAACAAGTGGCCCCAACTCTCTACGCGGAGGACAAAACTTTTGCTATCCGTCGCATTTACAAGAAACCAACTCTCTACGCGGAGGACAAACCTTTTTTCCGTCGCACGTAACAAGTGATTAAACCAAGAAACCAACTTTTACTTTTTTGCTATCCGTCAAAAGTGGCGAAAGTACAAAGAAACCAACTCTCTACGCGGAGGAAAACCTTTTTGCTATCCGTCGCATAACAAGTGGCGACGTGGTAACCCAACCAACTCTCTACGCGGAGGACAAACCTTTTTGCTATCCGTCGCACGTATATATATATATATATATATTTTGCTATCCGTCGCATATATATATATATAATAACAAGTATTTTTTAAAAAACCTTTTTATCCGTTTCCTATTTTTACATATCAAAACCTTTTGCATTTATAAAAAATATAAAAACCAACTATATATCCTACTGAGGATATATATATATATATATTTTTTGCTATATATAAAACCTATATATATATATATATATATATATATGCAAAAACCAACTCCTCACCCAGAGGGTTTAATATGCATTATGTTTGAGTTTGTCCTCGTGTGATCATCTGACTAATATCTTCTCTTTATATATGTTCTTGTAATTTAATTGAATGTGGAAGGAATATTGGAGGATGAATTTATCCGTCGAATCCATAATAAAATAAGACGCGGAGGAACAAACTCTTGTTCAAAGAGAAATGTAACAGTACTAATGTAAGATTTGCCATCAGGGAGACAAAATATTCATTATTCCTTGACAATTTAGTATTTCCAATTTCAACTCATTTTTCCCTGTATTGCAAACGGTAAAATTATTAGAAAAAATATGCGTTAAAAATATAAAAAAATACAATAAAAAAAAAAAAGTGAGAAAAAAAAAAGAGCCCAGAAAAAAAGATGAAGAATTGTAAATAAGCAAAAAAACTTGTTCTGATAAAAAAAAAAAAATGTATATATATATTTTCCATAATTTGATAAAACTTACTTCCAGTAACTCTAAACTCTGTTAGGTCTTCGTCTGTAGGGCTGAAATAAAAAAAAAAAATGCATACGGTATTTTCAAGGCAAAATAGTTAAGAGATATGTGATATTGTCATCTAATTCTCTGACACTGAAAAATAATTTATAAATATTTCCTCTTTAAATTAAAAAAACAATTATTTCCTCTTTAAATTAAAAATATAATTGTTTTTTTTATAATTATATATATATATATATATATATACACATGTGTCTGTGCGTGCATGTGTGAGTTTGATTAAAATGTAGATTTTTTCTTATTATCTAAACTTGTTCTATCTATCTATCTATCTATCTATCTATCTAGTAATAATTGATTCTTTTCCCACAAAACCTGCAGTTATTTACATCTTCCAACTTTAGTACGTAATTTCCAGTAATTTTACAAATATTTTAGAGTAAATTATCTCTGTTTATAAATTTTTTTGAAGCTCTTCACTTTGTTAGGAATAACGGAATTTAACTTGTTCTTTCTTCGTCTTCACTACTTCAATTATTTTTCTTTCTTCTCTATTCCCTTCTTTTCTGTATCTTACTCATTCGTATCGTATTTTATTCATTGAAATATTATCTTTTGCTTTCTCACTCAGGGCTTGTTACAATGTTTCGTTGAAATTTGTTTTGTTTTCTTAATGTGATCTTTACATTGCTGCAAAAAATCATTTGTTTCTGCAACGTATATCTACCGAAGTTTTTAGCAAGTCTTGTCTGAATTATATTATTCACACTAAGACTCAACACACTCGCTCCTCATCAACTTATTCAAATCATTAATTCGTCAGTGGATTCCAAACCCGAAACACATCAACATTACTCTTGCTATGGCACTCAGATACCGACACCGATACTTTTTAGACACTGTATGATTACCAATGCGACTGAAAAACTTGACTTTATTTTTTCTCCTTTTCATTTTATTTTAGTTTTTCACTTGACTTTTTTTTCAGCTTCTTAATCCAATAAACTTCTGATTTTTATCAGCTATAAACATGGCGCCAGTTTGCGCAGATTTCAAATCTTTCTGCATTTTATTTTATTTTTTAATGCTTTTTTCTTGCAAATTCCTTTTTTTTTTTTTTCTGACCGCTGCTGATTGATTGTTTCTTTTTTTTTTTTCTTTTCATTTAATTCACATTTTTTTTCTTCCAGTTCTACCTTTCCATCTATTCTTTCAATTTACCTCATTCAATGCATTCAACTGGGGAATCCAATTCATTAATCAGTCTTCATCATAGATTCTTTCTCATTTCTTTTCTAAAATTCATCGTGTTCTCTTCAATGTTTCTTTTTTGCTCAATACTTATTTTAATTTTTTTTATCTCTTCCCTCTTTTATTTTCAAATTTCTTTCATTTCTTTCTTCGTCTTCACTGCTTCAAATATTTTTTCTTTCTTCTCTATTCCCTTCTGTTCTGTATCTTACTCATTCGTATCTTATTTTATACATTTTTTGAAATAGGAAAGCTGAGTTCCATTTCCAGTCGGGTTCGTTATATTCACGCATGTGCAATTATCCTTCGGAAAGTTTCTTTTAATCAATAAACTTTTATTTTTTATCAGCTATTGCCAAATCTTTCTTTGCATTTAACGAAGAGTAGTAGGACTTGTCTTTACAAATACATTATTATCTAAAAAAAAAGAACAACACTTAAAATATAAAAATATTTTCGGTTTTAAATTAATCGGCAAATTGTTCATAAGCCATAAGATCTAATCACTCAATCTTTTTTTTTTATTTTTTTCTTCTTTACTTGTTTTTTTATTTTATTCGTATTCTTCAGAGATTTATTTTATTCTTTTTCCGTCCCTAAATTCTTCCCTTCGACTTTTTCTTTTTCCATATTATTTATTTTTATCATTTCTCCTTTCTTTCAATGTCAGATTTGTATTCTTCTTAGCGACCTTCTTCGCCTTCTACTTCATTGCTTTTTCTTTTGCGATTACGTTTTCTCGCTTTTTCTTTAAAAGTCGTTTCACTTTTCTGTTTCTTTGTTTAATTATCGTTTCTTTTTTCATCTTGTTTTACAATTTAAAAAATAAATAATTTGCAGTGCTCATCCAATTTTTTTTAAAAGTTCACATTCTCTTCCTTTTCTCTGCACCCCTTCTTCATTTTTTTAAAAACTTTTTATTTTCTTTTTTTTGTTAATTATCATTTCAGTGAGATAAAATATATTTAATTTTATTTCTAATATAAAGATAGAAATTTGAATGTTTCTTGTGTATTTAACAGTTTGTGCACAACCTAATATACTCTGTCTTCAAAGAGTCCTTTCATCAAAATTCTTCATGATATACGAATAGCTTTCTTTGTATACATTCCTTTGTGTTTCTACCTTTATTTCATAATTTTATTTCGCATTCTTAGACGATATCACTTAGACATATTTTCATGCTTAACATTTTTCTTCTTCAGATAGTTTTCAATTATCATTTATTCTACTTGGCATGTTTCTATTTCACAATCTATTTGTAATTTACATTTTTCTATTTAGTATTGATTTTCTACTTTTCCTCACTTTCCCTTTCACGTTTATTCTACTTCATCTTTTTCTATTAAGTGATTTTAATTAAAGAAAATAATATTTTATGATGTTTATAAGAGATCTCGATTTTTCTATTCTAAAAACAGTAACATTATTTCGACCTCTCTCTCTCTCTTTCTCTCTCTCTCTCTTTCTCTCTCTTTCTTTCTCTCTTTTCTTTTTTTTTTTTCTTCTGATCATGTTTCATGGATGACATCTTTCTGAACATAGTCAGGCTATTCAAGTTTATTTGGGAAGGATATTATAACATTTCAGTACTTATGCTAGTAGTAAACCGCCTACACATGGACAGAGAATGAATTCAGTAAATACACAAAAAAAAAAAAGTGTTTAAAACAAAAATGTTTCTTCTCCCCGAATTATTCATCCTTTACAGTGAGGCAATTCTGAAAGAATTGGAGGCCACATTCTCAACATATAAGAAGTGCTGATGACACAGTGTTGTTAGCAGACACGGAAAGCAAATGACAATGACGTCTAAAGAATATAGTAAAAGAAATCGAGAATAAAAAACTAAGCAACAGTTGTAAGAAAAGAAAATATATGATTGTGATCAAAAGGAATAAACTATTATTCGAATTAGCAAGAAATCAAGCAAGTACAACAATTTAAATATCTAGGAAATATTTTAAGAGAGAAAATGCGACACTGAAATCCGAAGTTATATTGGAATAGCGAAAGATGCATTTCAAATTTTAAGCAAAGTATTAAGAATCAGGTATATTTCGTTCGAAAAAAAGGAAAAAAAAAGATCGACGCTTATGTAATATCGTTCCTCCTATATGGCAGTGAATGACAATCTCTTCATCTATAGAAGAGAACTGAAGCAAAAAAGTGGTTCTACAGAAGGATGCTGAGAATTGCATGTTAGCCACGAAGAAATTTGAGAGAAAATAGAAAAAATGATCACTTACAGTTAGAATAAATAGAGACAATTGAAATTGCTATGGAAAATTTAACGATCAGAAGACATGTTACAGGCAGGAGGGGCAAAGAATAGAAGTGAATAACTTACCAAAGGAGTCTAATGTGTAAATAATTAGCAGAAAAGAATGAGTGTAGATAAACATTGCTAAGATTTACAGAGGAAATCAAGTTATGGAGAACCAACCTCAACCATTTTCTGAAGGGGAACAGCACGTAGAAGAAAACTCTTGGCGATCTTACTTCTGAACATGTAGCGTTGATTTCCTAAACTGAAAATGTAGCGTAGATGTCTTCATTCTAAACACTTAATCCGAATGCGTTCCGTCTGAAGATGTAGATTGGCTATGTTCCATCTGATAAAATAGCGTTTATGTCTTCCTTCTGAACATGTATCATGGATGACTTCATTTTGAACTTGTAGCGTGGATGTCTTTCTTCTGAACATTTAGCATGGAGGCCTTTCTTCTGAAAATATAGTTTGATATGTCCCTTTGATAATATAGTTTAGATGCCTTCCTTCTGAACATGTAGCATGAGTGTCTTCATTCTGAACATGAAGCGTAGATGTATCCATTCTTTATACGTATCGTGAATATATTCCTTCCGGAGATGTATATTTAATATGTTCTCTCTGATAATGTAGCGTGAATATCGTCCTTCTCAACGCGTAATATGGGTGTCTTCCTTCGCAAAATATAGCGTTGGGATGTCCCTCCTGAATAGGTCGCGTGGGTACCTTCCTTCTGAACATGTAGTGTGTATATTTTTCTTCTGAACATGCAATGTGGATGTATTCCTTTGAACAAGTGAGGTAGCTATCTACCTTCTGAACAATTAGCGTTGATGTTTTCCTTTTGAACAATCAAGGGATAAACTTAAGAACGTAAATTAAAAGAAATCAGTGACTAACATACTCGACGAAACAATAAAGGATATAAAAATTTCCTCGTAAAGGATAAATAATTATTTAGAGCAATCAAAAAAGGAAATTGTGGAGTTCAAACATCGCCATGAGGAGAGGTTTAATAAATTATAATTTTATCATTTAAAATCGTGAAAAACTTCACAGTTCAGTATGTATTGGAAAATTAATTTTCAGCTTTAAATAAATTGCTATAAAATTTTTACTGACGTGCACGAGTATATTTTAATGATGTTAATTCTCTGAAAATTGCGGTTGGATAATGATGTATTAATTATAACATGTCATTATAAAATTGCTGCAATTTTGAAGTAAAGGAACGCAGTTGCACTATTTCATTCTTCGTATCTACATGAAGTTCTTGGTCGCACCGAACAACAATTATGTATTGATTAAATATTTTTACGCTTTCTCTAAAATACAGTTTTATAACATATAGAGCCACTTATAAGTCATCTTTTTATATTTATAATCTGTTTTATAGTAGCATTATGATGTCTTCAAATACAGTACGTCTTTTGAAAATTACATTTATTTTCTTTTTAAGGAAAATCCTCTATAATAGTAATACAAATAATAATGCAAGAGGGCACCTCGATGTGGTGTAATGGTAAACAAGCTTGTCTTGCTAAGTCAATTACGATTGGATAATAAGTTTGGTTATCGCTCTGTACTCTATGACTTGTGTCGCATTTAAATTAGGCATAGAAAAGCACTTTCCAACTAAATTTACATATACAAACATGACAAAAAATATAATGAATCACTCATAAACCATAGAACGTTTATAAATGAATTTTAAACCATAGATAATTCAACATCATCATCATCATCATCTCATTGTTATTTGTAATCGCAGGGCAGATCCGAAAGCAGAAGCCACACACTTTTCCACAACTATTAACGGCAGCCATCAGCAATTCTGGTACCGTCATACCTGTCATTATTTTACATTATCCAACCAGTTTTTATTTTATTTTCTCTTTTTTTTTTTTTTGGCGTTGGTATTCTTTTCCTAAGTCCACTTTCAACGTTGCCTTGCTTGATAGTCTTGCGCAGGATGTCGTGTTTTGTAATGTATCATATACAACGCCATTTTTTTCTGTTTGACAGTGGCGAGAAGAGGTTAGTGATGTCCCACAAAACTTTCAACACTTTTCAACACAAACTGATTGTTATTTTTTCCCAATAGAAAATGCAATTGTACTCAAACGCTTTGATTTTTCTTCCTGTATATGCTAACAGTATCCATATTTGACTTCCATATCGCTGAATGGAGACTACCAGCGATGTGTACAAACAATTCTCAAGGAATAAATACGATATGGCAATCGTGAATAAATAGAGAAAATAAATTATTAAATATAAGATCCGAACTCATCTCAAAATGCAGTCATGAACAAATTTTTACTACGTTACTTAAAAATCGAAAACTGAAAAAAATAATATAAAATAAATAAACAAAAAGACAATAAAATAATAAAAATAATTTAACCCAAACAAAATAATAAATCGCACCCGTTAGAATGAAAAATAAAAAAATAAAATCAATGAACACAAATAAATAAATAAAAATAATAAACAAATTAAAAAAAACCCATTATGACCAAAATATTAGTTAGACTATAAAATATCAAACCAAAAATCAGACGAAAAAAATAACTATAACTGTTATATAACGATAAAAGAAAAAATACTACGTTACTTAAAAATCGAAGACCGAAAAGAGTAAATAAAAATATACAGTATAATAAATAAATAATAAAAACCAGTAAAATAAATTCATCTAAATTCATCCAAAAATTAAATAAACTAACAAATCGATCCAGATAAATTAACTGTTAGAAAAACAAGTAAAGATAATCAATCCAAATAAATACATGAAGTAATAAAGAAATTAAAAATATAAAAAAAATGTGCCCGGCAAAATAATAGTTCGAATAAATTACAACAATCAACCCCAAAATTGAATAAATTCCTTTAATTACTTTTCCAAACCAAAACAAAACTATTAAAGCAGTATAAACAAATTTTTACTACGTTAATAAAAACACCGATTAAAATAAAAATAAAAAAATACATTAAAAAAAAAAAAAAAAAATTTAACACAAATAAATAAAGAAATAAACGTCTTCCGGTAAAATAATCGCCAAAACAGACTATCCACAATGCACAACTGACCCGTATATATAAAAAGCCGAAAAATATAACAGCACTCGCGGCCTGACGATTGCGTCTAGCATGAAACAGACTGTCGCCTCCAAGTATTGAATCTATGTTCACTTTTATATTTACACACGGTCTATCTCTGATAGTGACGACTTTATCCCATAAGTATAACACACCTTAAGATTATATATATATATATATATATATATATATATATATATATATATATATATATATATATATATATTCGTAATATTTCGTAATATTTCCTGGTTGTTGGTGAATGCTCAAATACAAACAGTCTTATGCTTGAGTTATAAGTCATTATCAATTATCCTTGGTTTTTATATTTCGTGTAATTTGACGGTTTCATCATTGCTCATTACGTCAGATGGTTTTCACGATATCGCATTTCCACGTACCATTTAACGTGTCTTGTGTCACATTTTTATATATATTTATGATAATTGTTCCTAAAAGTGATAATTCTCAATTGAAGCTCGGTGATTTCCATTTTTACTCTTAATACTTATCGTAATTTTAGACAATTATTGAAGTGATAATGATTCGTCTGAGTGTTGATTTTTTTTTTTTTGCTGTTAGTTATGGGAGTTAATTGAATTAGTGTCAGATAAATTACACTCTAATTAGAGCGATAAAATTCTTTGATTTAGACAATCTAAATACTTTAATTTTTTTCAGTTTAGATGCAAAATCTTTCTTTGAATTTTTAATTCGTCTTTTGCAAACTCCCGGAATACAGTAATGTGTGCAGTAGTAACCCCCACTCCTGTTTTTAATACGTTTCTAGATTACCCAATTAGTAACAGTAGTATATTATCATGAAGTTTTACAGTTTTCTGAATTCTCGTAAAAATCTTTTTCTTATATTTTTCATGTCCTTTAATATCTGCTTCTATGACTTTTAACGCCATGTCCGAAATTTTGCTGATATTCATTTTCAAGAAGAAGGATCGTCGTCTAGGTAATGTAAAAAAATTCTTAGTATTCCTGCATTATTGTTCTTTATCTTCTATTCTACTATTTTGAAACACATGTTATGGTCTGAGCACTGAAGTTAATCAACGTCGCTCCTGGTCAGTAGCTCGATGGGTGAACGCTTGGGAATTCCAGGCCCTATAAGCTTCGATGTGTAGTTGCTGTGATGACTTGGA